TATTTGTGTATACAGTTGTGTATACATTTCTATATATATGCGCATATATTTAAGTATATAATTGGGTATGTCATTGCGTTTATACTAGCGTTTACGATTGTGTATATTTGTGTAAATAGCTGCATATAAAATTGCGTGTATTTTGTGTATGTAATTGTATATAATTGTGTATAAATTTCTATATATTTGCGCATATATAAGTATATGAATGTGTATATCATTGCGTGTATAATTGTGTGTATAATAGCGTATATAATTGTGTGCACAATTGCGTATGTAATTGTGCATACAATTGTGTGTATAATTGCGTGTCTAATTGTGTGTCTAATTGTGTATACAACAACGTATATATTTGCGTATATAATGCTAGCGTTTACAATTGCGTGTATATTTGTGTAAATATCTGCATATAAAATTGCGTGTATTTTGTGTATATAATTGTATATACGATTGTGTATAACTATGTATATAATTACGTGGATAATTGTATATATACTGTGTATATAATTGCGTATATAAGTGCGTGTATAATTACGTATATAATTGAGTCTATACTTGTGTATATATTTGTGTATAATTGTGTATATAATTGTGAATAATTTCGCGTGTGTAATAATTGGGTATATAATTGTGTACATTGGTGTGTATGTTAATTAAGTATGTATAATAAAGTGTATACTTTAGTGTGTATAATTGTTTGTGTACAGTTGTGTATATAATTGTGTATATACCTGTGTGTATAATTACATATACAATTGTGTATATAATTGTGTATACACTTGTGTATAGTTATGCATATAATTGCGTGTAAAATTGTGTATATAACGGTGTATATATTTGAGTATAGTTGTGTATATAATTGTGCATATAACTGCGTGTATAATTATATATAATTTAGTGTAATTGTGTATATAATTACGTATATAACTGCGTGTATATAGTTATGCATGTAATTATGTGTGTAATAGTGTGTGTAATTGTGTATATAGTTGTGTATATACTTGTGTATATATTTACGTTTATACTACCGTTCACAATTGCATGTATAATTGTGAATAAATTTGCGTGTATATAATTGTGTATATGATTACGTATATAATTGTGTATATAGGTGTGTATAATTGTTATATAAATATGCGTATAACTGTGTATATAATTGTGTATATATGTGTATATAATCGCATGTATAACTATGTATATAATTGTGTATATAATTGTGTGTATAGTTGTATATGTAATTGTGTATATAATTGTGTATACAACAACGTATATGTCTGTGTATATAATTGCGTTTATACTAGCGTTTACAATTAAGTGTATAATAAAGTGTGAACTTTAGTATGTCTGATTGTGTGTGTACAGTTGTGTGTTTAATCGCGTATCATATTGTGGATATTAATTGTGTACATAATCGCGTGTATATATGTGTGCGTATATAATTTAAGTGTATAACAGTGTGTTATAATCGTGTATATAAGCGCGTGTATATCATTGTCAGTGTGTGTCAGTGTGTGTGTGTGTCAGTGTGTGTGTCAGTGTGTGTGTCAGTGTGTGTGTCAGTGTGTGTGTGTCAGTGTGTGTGTGTCAGTGTGTGTGTCAGTGTGTGTGTGTCAGTGTGTGTGTTAGTGTGTGTGTGTCAGTGTGTGTGTCAGTGTGTGTGTCAGTGTGTGTGTATGTCAGTGTGTGTGTGTCTGTGTGTGTGTGTCTGTGTGTGTATGTCAGTGTGTGTGTGTCAGTGTGTGTGTGTCAGTGTGTGTGTGTCAGTGTGTGTATGTCAGTGTGTGTGTGTCAGTGTGTGTGTTAGTGTGTGTGTGTCAGTATGTGTGTCAGTGTGTGTATGTGTGTGTGTGTCAGTGTGTGTGTCTGTGTGTGTGTCTGTGTGTGTCAGTGTGTGTGTGTCAGTGTGTAGGGAGCGGTAGTGTAGCGGTTAGCGCTACGCTGCGCTATGAACCTGGCGACCCGGGTTCGATTCCCGCTCACGACCAACACCAGTGACGATTATCTGAACCGGTCCCGGGCCTCCCCTAGGTCGACTCAGCCTCAAATGAGTTACCTGGTGCGGTGTGTAGTAAAACATCGCCACTGGGGAGACAAAGGCGGTCGGGCGTGGTGCTGGCCACCCACCTCCTCGTGTACCGTTCTGGCCTTCATAGGTGCTCGCTATCAGCACTTGCCCCTACAGTCTGTTAAGGCTATACGGGGGGATCGTTGTCTTTTGTGTGTCAGTGTGTGTCTGTGTGCGTCCGTGTGCTTATGACCGGCTCCAGTTTAACAGCAGAGGTCTCACTCCGAATCAGTCGAGCGGCAATATCTTTTCATCGGTTGCGTAACGCTGTGTGGAAGCTACCTGGTCTGTCGCTCCGCACTAAGCTTCAGGTCTTCTTGGCCACGGTCATTCCCTCCCTTCTCTACGCTTGCGAAACGTGGACCCCCCTAATGGAACATCTTCGCCGGTTGGAAACATTTAGGCTGGCCTGCCTACGATCCATCCTGGGTTTAACCAGACTGGATTGTGTGAGGAGCTCACAAATCTTTGAAAGATCTGGGCAGGGTCCCATCGGTGAGCTCCTCCGGCGGGGAAGGCTGCGATGGCTGGGTCATGTAGCCCGCATGCCCAGCCACCGCATGCCGAAACAGCTTTTGTTTGGCCGGATTGAGGGGGCTAAGCGGGCGCGGCACGGGCTAGAGAAGAGATGGAGTGATGTGGTACAGGAGGACGTGGAGCTGAGTTGACTTGCCGATGACTGGTACCAGCGGTGTCAAGATCGGCCTCTGTGGAGGAGGCTCGTGAAGGACGCTACTGGGCAGTTGGAGGCAGTCGCCCTCCAACAACAACGGAGGGCGGAGGAGCGACGCTCAGAACAACGAGCGGAGCGCCGGGTGGCTAAAGCACAGCAGGTTGGCACAGTAGGGGGCACAGGTGGTGCATCAGCCAGTCATCTCAGTCAGTCGACCCGTGGCACCTGGGTCTGCCCCGTGACCTCCTGCCAGCGGGCGTTCGACACTTCACGTGGCCTCAGTGTGCACATAGCCTGGCACAAGCGTCGTGGTGACGTCACTGCCACTTAGTGGCGAATGGGGGTTGTTGTTGTTGGTGTGTGTCAGTGTGTGTGTGTACACGTGTGTGTGTGTGTGTCTGTGTGTGTGTCTGTGTGTGTCAGTGTGTGTGTGTCTGTGTGTGTGTCTGTGTGTGTGTCTGTGTGTGTGTCAGTGTGTGTCTGTGTGTGTCAGTGTGTGTCTGCGTGTGTGTCTGTGTGTGTGTGTCAGTGTGTGTGTGTGTCTGTGTGTGTGTCAGTGTGTGTCTGTGTGTGTGTCAGTGTGTGTCTGTGTGTGTCAGTGTGTGTCTCTGTGTGTGTGTCTGTGTGTGTGTGTCTGTGTGTGTGTCTGTGTGTGTGTCAGTGTGTGTCTGTGTATGTGTGTCAGTGTGTGTCTGTGTGTGTGTCAGTGTGTGTCTATGTCTGTGTGTGTCAGTGGGGAGCGGTGGTGCAGCGGTTAGCGCTACGAACCCGGCGACCAGAGTTCGATTCCCACTCAGAACCAACACCATCAGTGACAGCGATGATCTGAACCGGTCCTGGGCCTCCCCTAGGTCGACTTAGCCTCAAATGAGCAGCTGGTGTAGTAGACATCGCTAGCACTGAAGAGACAAAGGCGGCCGGGCGTGGTGCTGTCTCCCTCCCCCCCATCTCCCCCCCCCATCCCTCCCCCCCATCTCCCCCCCCTCCCCTCCCATCTCCCCCCCCATCCCTCCCCCCCCATCTCCCCCCCCTCCCCCCTCCCCCATCTCCCCCTCTCCCTCCCATCTCCCCCCTCCCCCCCCATCTCCCCTCCCATCTCCCCCCCATCTCCCCCCCATCCCTCCCCCCCATCTCCCCCCCTCCCCCATCTCCCCCCCCCATCTCCCCCCCTCCCCCATCTCCCCCCCCATCTCCCCCCCATCTCCCCCCCCATCCCTCCCCCCCATCTCCCCCCCTCCCCCATCTCCCCCTCTCCCCCCCATCTCCCCCCCCATCTCCCCCCCCTCCCCCTCCATCTCCCCCCCCATCTCCCCCCCCCATCTCCCCCCTCCGCCCCATCTCCCCCCTCCCCCCCCATCTCCCCCCCATCTCCCCCCATCTCCCCCCTCCCCCCCCCATCCCTCCCCCCCATCTCCCCCCCCTCCCCTCCCATCTCCCCCCCCATCCCTCCCCCCCATCTCCCCCCCCTCCCCCCTCCCCCATCTCCCCCTCTCCCTCCCATCTCCCCCCTCCCCCCCCATATCCCCTCCCATCTCCCCCCCATCTCCCCCCCATCCCTCCCCCCCATCTCCCCCCCTCCCCCATCTCCCCCCCCTCCCCCATCTCCCCCCCCATCCCTCCCCCCCCATCCCTCCCCCCCATCTCCCCCCCTCCCCCATCTCCCCCTCTCCCCCCCATCTCCCCCCCCATCTCCCCCCCCTCCCCCTCCATCTCCCCCCCATCTCCCCCCCCATCTCCCCCCTCCGCCCCCATCTCCCCCCTCCCCCCCCATCTCCCCCCCATCTCCCCCCCATCTCCCCCCCTCCCCCCCCATCTCCCCCCCTCCCCCACATCTCCCCCCCCATCTCCCCCCCCTCCACCCCCATCTCCCCCCCCATCTCCCCCCTCCCCCAACTCCCCCCCCCATCTCTCCCCTCCCCCATCTCCCCCCATCTCCCCCCCATCTCCCCCCTCCTCCCCTCCCATCTCCCCCCCTCCTCCCCCCCCATCTCCCCCCCCATCTCCCCCCCCATCTCCCCCCCCCCACCATCTCCCCCCTCTCCACCCCCATCTCCCCCCCCCATCTCCCCCCTCCTCCCCCCCCCATCTCCCCCCATCCTCCCCCCCATCCCCCCCATCTCCCCCCCCACCATCTCCCCCCCCCTCCACCCCCATCTCCCCTCCCCCATCTCCCCCCCCCATCTCCCCCCCCCCATCTCCCCCCTCCCCCATCTCCCCCCCCATCTCCCCCCCATCTCCCCCCCCTCCCTCCCCTCCCCACAGTCCCCTACAAGCTGTTCGGGGAGGCGGCTTCCACCTCGTCCAGCATCTCCACCTCGTCGCTGAGCGAGAAACGCAAACAGAGGCGGATCCGCACGACCTTCACGAGCGGACAGCTGCGTGAGCTGGAGCGGATCTTCTCCGAGACCCACTACCCGGACATCTACACACGCGAGGAGCTGGCGCTCAAGATCGATCTCACGGAGGCGCGCGTGCAGGTGTGGGGGGAAGGTGGGGGGAAGGTGGGGGGAAGGTGGGGGGAAGGTGGGGGGAAGGTGGGGAGGGGGGAGCATCATCACCACTATCACCACCATCACACACCACCACCAGCACCGCCACCATCACCACCAACTCCACCAACTCCACCACCACTATCACCACTATCACCACCGCCACCACCGTCACAACCAATACCACCACCGTCACTGTTACCACCATCACCACCACCAGTACCACTACCATCACCACCATCACCACTATCACCACCAATTCCACCACCACCTCCACCACTACCATCACCACCAACTCCACCACCACTATCACCACCACCGTCACCACCATCACCACTATCACCACCACCACCGTCACCACCACCACCATCACCACCACGATCACCACCACCGTCACTGTTACCACCATCACCACCACCATCAACAACCCCCATTCGCCACTAAGTGGCGGTGACGTCACCACGACGTTTGTGCCAGGCTATGTGCACCCTGAGGCCACGTGAAGTGTCGAACGCCCGCGGGCAGGAGGTCACGGGGCAGACCCAGGTGCCACCGGTCGACTGACTGAGATGACTGGCTGATGCACCACCTGTGCCCCCTACTGTGCCAACCTGCTGTGCTTTAGCCACCCGGCGCTCCGCTCGTTTTTGTGAACGTCGCTCCTCCGCCCTCCGTTGTTGTTGGAGGGTGACTGCCTCCAACTGCCCAGTAGCGTCCTTCACGAGCCTCCTCCACAGAGGCCGATCTTGACACCGCTGGTACCGGTCATCGGCCAGTCCACTCAGCTCCACGTCCTCCTGTACCACATCACTCCTCTTCACTAGCCCGTGACGCGCCCACTTAGCCCCCTCAATCCGGCCGAACAAAAGCTGTTTCGGCATGCGGTGGCTGGGCATGCGGGCTACATGACCCAGCCATCGCAGCCTTCCCCGCCGGAGGAGCTCACCGATGGGACCTTGCCCAGATCTTTCAAGAATTTGTGAGCTCCTCACACAATCCAGTCTGGTTAAACCCTGGATGGATCGTAGGCAGGCCAGCCTAAATGTTTCTAACCGGCGAAGATGTTCCATTAGGGGGGGTCCACGTTTCGCAAGCGTAGAGAAGGGAGGGAATGACCGTGGCCGAGAAGACCTGAAGCTTAGTGCGGAGCGACAGACCAGGTAGCTTCCACACAGCGTTACGCAACCGATGAAAAGATATTGCCACTCGACTCATTCGGAGTGAGACCTCTGCTGTTAAACTGGAGCCAGTCATGAGCACACTGCCCAGGTATGGGAAACTCTCCACTCTCTCCACAACTGCCCCATCACCGATTGGGAGTTGTGGGGGTGGAGTGTCCGATGGTACAAAATACCCAGGCAGGTGCTTAGTTTTAGTGGGGCTGATGGTAAGGCCCCACCTCTTAGTGGCACGCTCCAGTCTCAGCAGCAGCGTCTCCAACTCCTCCTCTGAATGAGCAGCATTTACCAAATCATCAGCATACATAACGTGGTTGAGCAATAGGGAGCCATCCCTTGACCGCACCCGGGCGTCGATCAGCCTCCCATTATATCTGTACCATATGGAGATTCCCCCAGTACAGCTATTGAAGGCTTCACGAACTACGTGGTCAAATTAGATGTTAAATAATGTGGGAGCCAGAGGACATCCCTGTCGCACCCCAAGGTTAACAGGGAATGGCTCTGACTCCCGGCCACGTAGTTTTACCCGGGCCCGCTCACCATCATGAAGGTCCTTAATAATCGTGAGCAGAGGGTCAGGTACTCCAAAAGCACGAAGAACAACCCATAGCCCAGGCCTACTGATGGTATCATAGGCCTTGACCAGGTCAATAAAGCAGAGATGTAGGTCTTGTTGGAATTCCCTACACCTCTGCTGTAGCAGACGGTCAGAAAATATGGCATCTGTGCAGGACCGCCCTTTCCTGAAACTGCATTGGGGCTCCGCAAGCCTCTCCTCAGCGTGCCTGGCAAGGCGATGTTGAATAATCCTTGCCAGGACCTTTCCCGGCACACTGAGGAGTGAGATGCCCCTGTAGTTGTTACAGTCTGTGCGGTCCCCCTTCTTAAAAAGGGGGACCACCAGGGCATCCTTCCATCCTGCGAAACCCGTCCAGTGGTCCAGACTGTTGTTATGATGTCATATAGGGCAGTCTGTGCACAAACGCCGCCCTCCCTCAGCATTTCGCTTGGGAGATCATCTCTGCCCGCTGCCTTTCCTGGTCTCAGACTCCGGATCGCCTTCAGTACTTCCTCAACAGATGGCACCTCAGCCAGCCACTCACAGGGGGTGACTTCTTCCAATATTTGAGGCACCGCAGCCTCAGCAGGGTCATCCTCACTTTGTGCCACGATGTTTTCCTGGCTGAGGGATTTTCCCTCCCCCGGGACCTCACAGAAATGCTCAGCAAATCTGCAAACCTGTTCCTGGGGGTCGGAGATTGGGTCACCGTTTTTCCCCTAATGATGGTAATAGGTGTGGCGCTGCAGATTACTTTTTTGATGGAGTTAAATAGAGATTTGTGATCACGGGCAACTGAGGCAGACTCCATCTCCTCAGCAACCCGCGACCACCACCCATCCTTGCAGCGCCTCACGGCTCTCTGAACCTCCAAGCGAAGGCTGCGGTAAGCCTCCTCATTCTCTGACGTGGGATTCTGTAGCCGATGACAGTGGGCCTGTCGCTTTTCTCAACCATCCTGAACACCTCCTCTGTCAGCCAGGGTCTCTGGGGAGGTCTGGACCGCATACCCAAAGCAGCCATTGCAGCTGCATGAGTCACAGTCCTAAACCTCGCCCATTTACCCTCGACATCAGGAGGAGTCGGGGACGATGCCAATCCCAGCCGCAAGCGATGATGAAATTCTCGCTTGCAACTTTCATCAGATAACTGAGACCAGGCCACTTTAGGTTGGAATGGGGTCCTGGGTGTACACCCACCACCGGAGTGGAAGAATGACAGGCGCATCTTACAGATGACTAGTCGATGGTCAGCGGGCAGATCAGCTCCACGGTAGATCCTGGTGTCAAGGACATGGGCTCGCATCCGCTGGTCCGTCACTATGTAGTCCAGCAGATGTTCTTGCTTGGACCCGGCATGCATCCATGATGTTGTGTGGATGCGCTGATGCCGGAACAGAGTGTTGGTAATTACAAGCCCATGGGCTGCACAAAAATCTAGCAGCCTCCTACCGTTGTTATTGAGCTGATCTGGCCCATGCCCTCCAATCACTCCAGACCAGGTGCCGTTATCATGACCAACTCGGGCATTGAAGTCACCCAACATGATGACTCTATCCCGAGGGGCCACTTTAGCCAGCACCTGTGACAGGAGGTCATATAAGGCATCTGACTCATCGGCTTTGCCTGCATCCCTCCACGGATGTTCATCTTCGGTGGGGGCATAAGTAACCACGACCACCATTCCTCACCTCCGGTTGATGGGAAGGCGAGCCCAAAGTAGCCTGGGACTTACAGCTTCCCACACCTCACCGCCACGCTCCCACGCCCCCTTCATTCTTTTGTTCAAAAGAAGAGCCACACCCTGTTGTTTGGCAGTCTGCTGCCCCGAGTAGAGGACTGTCCACCCCTCATGGTGGCAGGAGCCAGAGCCGGTCCACCGGACCTCCTAAATGCCACACAGATCCAGGCGGTACCGTTCCAGCTCCCGACAGAGGAGTGGCAGCCTCTCCTCCGCAGTGAGCATTCGAACATTCCACGTGGCCACCCGTAGTGGCTTTTCGTTGTTTCTGGAGGAGCCCCGAGGGTAGATATTCAATCTCCTGGCTCCGCCAATTGGGGTTTGGCCAGGAGACGTCATAGACGCCTGGCCCCCCGGGGCCTCCGGCACAAGCTTATTAGTTACATATTTCAGTTTAACTCGTGGTTTAGTGGTAATTAATTGAAGGTGGAGGGGTTACCAGCCCCTCGCACCCGTCCAGAGCCCCCGTTTAGCCCCTGTGGTGGACACAGACGCCATGAGGGGAGGAGCCAATCGGAATTGGATCTCCCCCACAGCACTGTCCACGACAGAGTTGCCCGTCCGGCACCGCGAGGAGGTAGGGCGTTGTTTTGCCGGACAACCACCATCACCACCATCACCACCACCATCACCACCGCCACCACCACCACCACCACCGTCACTGTTACCACCATCACCACCACCATCACCACCACCATCACCACCACTATCACCACCACCGTCACCACCACCACCGTCACCACCACCACCGTCACCACCACCACCGTCACTGTTACCATCATCTTCACCCCCGCCCCCCCGGCCCTCCAGGTGTGGTTCCAGAACCGCCGCGCCAAGTTCCGCAAGCAGGAGCGAGCCGCCGCCGCCGCCGCTGCCGCCGCCACCACCACCACGACCTCCGGCGGAGGAGGAGGAGGAGGAGGAGGAGGCGGTGGAGGAGGAGGAGGAGGCGGTGGAGGAGGAGGCGGAGGTGGAGGGATGAGCGGAGCCGCCAAGCTCACGGCCGGCAGCGGCGGCTCCACCACCACCACCACCACCACCACCTCCTCCACCTCCTCCTCCACTTCGTCAGCCGCCACCTCCTCCTCCTCCTGCAAGAAGATCGTCGACAACGACGACGACGATGACGGCGGCGGCGGCGGCGGCGACGACGACCGAGTCGACCCGGACAGCACCGGCGGTGCCGTCTGCAGCCCGGGGCCCCACCACCACCACCACCACCACCACCACCACCTCGTCGCCTCCTCCTCCACTTCTTCCACCGCCTCCTCCACCGCCTCCTCCTCCTCCGCCGCCGCCTCCTCCTCCTCCTCCTCCGCCGCCGCCTCGTCCACCGCCGCCGCCTCCTCCTCCTCCTCCTCCTCGGCGTCCTCGTCGGCATCGTCGTCGTCCGTGCCGTGCTCGCTCACCGAGTGCCCGGGCCCCAAGGCCCACGCCGTCGACTGGGCGGCTGTCGCGGCCGGTGCCGGTGCCGGTGCCGGTGCCGGCGTCGGCCTCTTCGGGACGGGTCGCCACGCCGGGACCGCCCTCGTCGGCGGGGGCCTCGAGGCCCTGGGGGCCGCGGGGCCCTTCGCCTCGGTGCTGTCGTCGCTGCAGAGGCCGTGCGGGCCCCACCACGGGGCACACCAACATGGGGCACACCAACACGGGGCACACCAACATGGGGCACACCAACACGGGGCGCACCAACACGGGGCACACCAACACGGGGCACACCAACATGGGGCACACCAACACGGGGCCAACAAATCGCTCGGAGTTCACGGCAAGGGGGGCCTCTTTTGAGAGCGCGGTCGGAGGGCTGTTGGAGCTGTTGGAGTTGGGGAGGGGCGGGGGCTGGCGGGGGGAGGGGGGCTGGGGGGGAGGGGCTGGGGGGGAGGGGCTGGCGGGGGAGGGGGGGTGTGGGGGGAGGGGCTGGGGGGGGAGGGGCTGGCGGGGGAGGGGCTGGGGGGGACGGGGTGAGATGCGAGGAGACGGAGTGAACGGGGCCTTGTCTCCTTTCTCTCACTCCTCCAATTTTAATTTCCTTGGATTGCGTGCGTGTGTGTGGGGGGGGGGGGGGGTAGGTGAGGGGGGGCAGGGCTGGGGGGGGGTAGGTGAGGGGGGGGGCAGGGCTGGGGGGGCTGGGGGGGGGCTGGGGGGGGTGAGTTACGAGGGGACGGAGTGAAGAGGGCTGTCTCCTCTCTTCCTACTCCTCCAAGTTTCATTTCCTTGACTTGTGTGTGTGTGTAGGGGAGGGGGCACGGTGGGTTCTATTCATCTATTAACTCAGGATGGGGGGCTAGGTGGGGGGGGGGCTGAGTGAGAGAGATGCGAGGAGACGGAGCGAACGGGCCGAGGTGGTTCGGAACGAGTGGATGTCGCTCTCATTTCTCGTGGGCTGAGCGGAGCAATTTGAAGTGTCCCTCTCTGTCTCTCACTCACTCACTCACTCCTCTCAGCTCCATTCCCTCGACTCGTGTGGTAAGGGAGAGACGGGGGGGGGGGCTGATGAGAGAGAGAGAGACGCAGACTCCCAAGTATACAGCGGCAAGCGTTGTTAGGGTCCGGGATAGAACCCACGACCTCCTGCGTACCAGGCGAGGTAGTCAACATCTCTCAGTGTCAGGGATTGAACCCACGACCTCATGCGAACCAGGCGAGGTAGTCAACATCTCTCAGTGTCAGGGATTGAACCCACGACCTCCATAGGGTTCAGTGTTAATCACTGGGGGGCTCACAGAGCCAGACTAAGGCTCCGCCCACAGGGTTCAGAGTTAATCACTGCAGGGGGCTCATAGAGCCAGACTAAGGCTCCCCCCACAGGGTTCAGTGTTAATCACCGGGGGGGGCTCACAGAGCCAGACTAAGGCTCCCCCCATAGGGTTCAGTGTTAATCACTGGGGGGCTCACAGAGCCAGACTAAGGCCCCCCAAAGGGTTCAGTGTTAATCACTGGGGGGCTCACAGAGCCAGACTAAGGCTCCCCCCATAGGGTTCAGTGTTAATCACTGGGGGGCTCACAGAGCCAGACTAAGGCTCCCTAACAGGGTTCAGTGTTAATCACTGGGGGGCTCACAGAGCCAGACTAAGTCTCCCCCACAGGGTTCAGTGTTAATCACTGGGGGGCTCACAGAGCCAGACTAAGGCTCCCACAGGGTTCAGTGTTAATCACTGGGGGGCTCACAGAACCAGACCAAGGCTCCCCCCACAGGGTTCAGTGTTAATCACTGGGGGGCTCACAGAGCCAGACTAAGGCTGCCCCCAGAGGGTTCAGTGTTAATCACTGGGGGGCTCACAGAGCCAGACTAAGGCTCCCCCCACAGGGTTCAGTGTTAATCACTGGGGGGCTCACAGAGCCAGACTAAGGCTCCCCCCACAGGGTTCAGTGTTAATCACTGGGGGGCTCACAGAGCCAGACTGAGGCTCCCCCCACAGGGTTCAGTGTTAATCACTGGGGGGCTCACAGAGCCAGACTAAGGCTCCCCCCACAGGGTTCAGTGTTAATCACTGGGGGGCTCACAGAGCCAGACTAAGGCTCCCCCCACAGGGTTCAGTGTTGATCACTGGGGGGCTCACAGAGCCAGACTAAGGCTCCCCCCACAGGGTTCAGTGTTAATCACTGGGGGGCTCACAGAGCCAGACTAAGGCTCCCCCACAGGGTTCAGTGTTAATCGCTGGGGGGCTCACAGAGCCAGACTAAGGCTGCCCCCACAGGGTTCAGTGTTAATGATTGGGGGGCTCACAGAGCCAGACTAAGGCTCCCCCCACAGGGTTCAGTGTTAATCACTGGGGGGCTCACAGAGCCAGACTAAGGCTCCCTCTCCCACAGGGTTCAGTGTTAATCACTGGGGGGCTCACAGGGCCAGACTAAGGCTCCCCCCACAGGGTTCAGTGTTAATCACTGGGGGGCTCACAGAGCTAGACTAAGGCTGCCCCCACAGGGTTCAGTGTTAATCACTGGGGGGCTCACAGAGCGAGACTAAGGCTCCCCCTACAGGGTTCAGTGTTAATCACTGGGGGGCTCACAGAGCCAGACTAAGGCCCCCCCCACAGGGTTCAGTGTTAATCACTGGGGGGCTCACAGAGCCAGACTAAGGCTCCCCCCACAGGGTTCAGTGTTAATCACTGCAGGGGGCTCACAGGGCCAGACTAAGGCTCCCCCCACAGGGTTCAGTGTTAATCACTGGGGGGCTCACAGAGCTAGACTAAGGCTGCCCCCACAGGGTTCAGTGTTAATCACTGGGGGGCTCACAGAGCTAGACTAAGGCTCCCCCCACAGGGTTCAGTGTGAATCACTGGGGGGCTCACAGAGCCAGACTAAGGCTCCCCCTATAGGGTTCAGTGTTAATCACTGGGGGGCTCACAGAGCCAGACTAAGGCTCCCTCTCCCACAGGGTTCAGTGTTAATCACTGGGGGGCTCACAGAGCCAGACTGAGGCTCCCCCCACAGGGTTCAGTGTTAATCACTGGGGGGCTCACAGAGCCAGACTAAGGCTCCCCCCACAGGGTTCAGTGTTAATCACTGGGGGGCTCACAGAGCCAGACTAAGGCTCCCCCTATAGGGTTCAGTGTTAATCACTGGGGGGCTCACAGAGCCAGACTAAGGCTCCCTCTCCCACAGGGTTCAGTGTTAATCACTGGGGGGCTCACAGAGCCAGACTGAGGCTCCCCCCACAGGGTTCAGTGTTAATCACTGGGGGGCTCACAGAGCCAGACTAAGGCTCCCCCACAGGGTTCAGTGTTAATCACTGGGGGGCTCACAGAGCCAGACTCCCCCCTCCCCCCCATCTTACCCCCCACACCTTACTCCCCCTACTTCACCCCCCCCCCCACCTTACTCACCCCCCACCTCACCCCCCACCTCACCCCCCACCTCACCCCCCACCTCACCCCCCACCTCACCCCCCACCTCCGTCCATCATTTAAACCCAATTAGTGTGAAGCTGAGTGGCAGAGCTGCCCCAATCGTAATCCAATCACACAGCACCCACCCACCCCCCTTCCTCCATTAGCGACCCCCCTAATATACCACGTGGTGTGGGGGGGGGGGCAAGGGGGGGTGAGGGGTATGGTCCCCCCACCCACCCTCCCTCAAGTCTCTGGTTACACCATCATCACCGTGGTGTTATCCACTGCTGGATGATGATCAGTGTGGCGGTGATGGTGGTGATGGTGATGGTGGTGATGTCCCTGCTCTGTATGTGAGATCTCTAATCACGTGTTCACTATCATCATCATCACCGTGGTGTTATCCACTGCTGGATGATGATCAGTGTGGTGGTGATGGTTGGTGATGTCCCTGCTCTGTGTGAGATCTCTAATCACGTGTTCACTGTCATCATCATCATCGTGGTGTTATCCACTGCTGGATGATGATCAGTGTGGTGGTAGTGATGGTGGTGATGTCCCTGCTCTGTGTGAGATCTCTAATCACGTGTTCACTGTCACCACCATAATCACCGTGGTCTATCTACTGCTGGATGATGATCAGTGTGGTGGTGATGATGGTGATGTCCCTGCTCTGTGTGAAATCTCTAATCACGTGTTCACTGTCATCATCATCACCATCACCGTGGTCTATCCACTGCTGGATGATGATCAGTGTGGTGATGGTTGGTGATGTCCCTGCCCTGTATGTGAGATCTCTAATCACGTGTTCACTGTCATCATCATCACCATCACCGTGGTCTATCCACTGCTGGATGATGATCAGTGTGGCGATGATGATGCTGATGATGGTGATGGTGATGCCTCTTGCCCTGTATGTGAGATCTCTAATCTCTCTGTCTCTCAGTGTCATCATCATCACCGTGGTCTATCCACTGCTGGATGATGATCAGCGTGGTGGTGGTGATGGTGGTGATGTCCCTTCCCTGTATGTGAGATCTCTAATCACGTGTTCAGTGTCATCATCACCATCATCACCGTGGTCTATCCACTGCTGGATAATGATCAGTGTGGCGATGATGATGGTGGTGATGATGATGGTGACGCCTCTTGCCCTGTATGTGAGATCTCTAATCTCTCTGTCTCTCTGTGTCACCATCATCATCACCGTGGTCTATCTACTGCTGGATGATGATCAGTGTGGCGATGATGATTATGGTGATGATGGTGATGCCTCTTGCCCTGTATGTGAGATCTCTAATCCACGTCTTCATCTCTCTCTCTGTCTCTATCTCCGAGTGTAATTGCCAAAAAAACAGGACAGTACAATCAGATGCCCCGTTTGAGATTCGCTGACATCTGTTGCGGATGACATCCTTGACTTAAATTTTGATTTAAAGCTTTCTTGACTGCAGGGATTCATATTAATGGTTCTTTCGGTAAAGTCACCACCACGTAGATAGGGGAAACAATAAAATAATAAAAATATTAAACAATTAAATTATTGTAAAACAATAAAATTATTCTTGGTTCTTTCGGTAAAGTCACCACCACGTAGAAGGGAAAACAATAAAATAATAAAAAATATAAAACAATACAATTATTGTAAAACAATAAAATTATTATTCTTGGTTCTTTCGGCAAAGTCACCACCACGTAGAAGGGAAACAATAAAATAATAAAAAATATAAAACAATAAAATTATTGTAAAACAATAAAATTATTATTCTTGGTTCTTTCGGTAAAGTCACCACCGCGTAGAAGGGAAACAATAAAATAATAAAAAATATAAAACAATACAATTATTGTAAAACAATAAAATTATTATTCTCGGTTCTTTCGGTAAAGTCACCACCACGTAGATAGGGGAAACAATAAAATAATAAAACTATAAAACAATAAAATTATTGTAAAACAATAAAATTATTATTCTTGGTTCTTTCGGTAAAGTCACCACCACGTAGATAGGGGAAACAATAAAATAATAAAACTATAAAACAATACAATTATTGTAAAACAATAAAATTATTATTCTTGGTTCTTTCGGTAAAGTCACCACCGCGTAGATAGGGAAACAATAAAATAATAAAAAATATAAAACAATACAATTATTGTAAAACAATACAATTATTGTAAAACAATAAAATTATTATTCTCGGTTCTTTCGGTAAAGTCACCACCACGTAGATAGGGGAAGCAATAAAATAATAAAGCTATAAAACAATAAAATTATTGTAAAACAATAAAATTATTATTCTTGGTTCTTTCGGTAAAGTCACCACCGCGTAGAAGGGAAACAATAAAATAATAAAAATATAAAACAATAAAATTATTGTAAAACAATAACATTATTATTCTTGGTTCTTTCGGTAAAGTCACCACCGCGTAGAAGGGAAACAATAAAATAATACAAAATATAAAACAATAAAATTCATATTCTTAGTTTTTTCGGTAAAGTCACCACGTTGAAGGGAAACACCAAAATAATATATAAATATATATAAAACAATAAAAAATTCTCACGACGTTTCGACCATAACTCAAACGGTCGTCTTCAGGTGTGTTGGATTGCATAAATTTATTTTTAAACGGCGCAATATATTTTATTATTTTGTTGTTTCCCTTCAACGTGACTTTACCGAAAAAACTAAGAATATGAATTACTGCAGTCACGAAAGCTTTAAATCAAAAAATAAAATTATTGTAAAACAATAAAATTATTATTATTGGTTCTTTCGGTAAAGTCACCACCGCGTAGATAGGGAAACAATAAAATAATAAAAATATAAAACAATAAAATTCTCACGACGTTTCGACTGCAACACAAGCAATCATCGTCACTTGATGATGATTGAGAATTTTATTGTTTTATATTTTTATTATTTTATTGTTTCCCTTCTACGTGGTGACTTTACAAGATTAGTTACATTTTGATTTAAAGCTTTTCGTGACTGCATGGATTCATATTCTTGGTTCTTTCGGTAAAGTCACCACCACGTAGATAGGGAAACAATAAAATCATAAAAATATAAAACAACAAAATTCAATTTTTCTTGTTGCGGTTTTCACTACCTGATGATGATTGCTGCTTGTGTTGCAGTCGAAACGTCGTGAGAATTTTATTGTTTTATATTTTTATTATTTTAGTGTTTCCCCTATCTACGTGGTGGTGACTTTACCGAAAGAACCAAGAATAATAATTTTATTGTTTTACAATAATGTTATTGTTTTATATTTTTATTATTTTGTTGTTTCCCTTCTACGCGGTGGTGACTTTACCGAAAGAACCAAGAATAAGAATTTTATTGTTTTACAATAATTTTATTGTTTTAAATTTTTATTATTTTATTGTTTCCCCTATCTACGTGGTGGTGACTTTACCAAAAGAACCAAGAATAATAATTTTATTGTTTTACAATAATTTTATTGTTTTATATTTTTTATTATTTCATTGTTTCCCTTCTACGCGGTGGTGACTTTACCGAAAGAACCAAGAATAATAATTTTATTGTTTTCCAATAATTTTATTGTTTTATATTTTTATTATTTTATTGTTTCCCCTATCTACGTGGTGGTGACTTTACCAAAAGAACCAAGAATAATAATTGTATTGTTTTACAATAATTTTATTGTTTTATATTTTTATTATTTAATTGTTTCCCCTATCTACGTGGTGGCGACTTTACCGAAAGAACCAAGAATAATAATTTTATTGTTTTATATTTTTATTATTTTATTGTTTCCCCTATCTACGTGGTGGTGACTTTACCGAAAGAACCAAGAATAATAATTTTATTGTTTTACAATAATTGTATTGGTTTATATTTTTAATATTTTATTGTTTCCCCTATCTACGCGGTGGTGACTTTACCGAAAGAACCAAGAATAATAATTTTATTGTTTTACAATAATTTTATTGTTTTATATATTTATTATTTTATTGTTTCCCTTCTTCGTGGTGGTGACTTTACCGAAAGAACCAAGAATAATAATTTTATTGTTTTATATTTTTATTATTTTATTGTTTCCCTATCTACGCGGTGGTTACTTTACCGAAAGAACCAACAATAATAATTTTATTGTTTTACAATAATTTTATTGTTTTATATTTGTATTATTTTATTGTTTCCCCTATCTACGCGGTGGTGACTTTACCGAAAGAACCAAGAATAATAATTTTATTGTTTTACAATAATTTTATTGTTTTATATTTTTATTATTTTATTGTTTCCCTTCTACGCGGTGGTGACTTTACCGAAAGAACCAAGAATAATAATTTTATTGTTTTACAATTATTTTATTGTTTTATATTTTGTATTATTTTATTGTTTCCCCTATCTACGCGGTGGTGACTTTACCAAAAGAACCAACAATATGAATCCTTGACTTAACCACTGGCAGATAATACCGCCCGGTGCCCATGGCAACGCTTAAATGATCAACTTCAATGAACATGGCGTTTGCGTTCGGTCCGCAACTAGGTTCACTCAGCCACAAATCTCTACCATGGCGGATTCGCCACCGATCGTAGAGCCACGTGCTCCGTCGGCCAATCGGACGAGCTCTTCTGGCTGGGCCAATGAGGCGACGTTGGCGAGGGCGGGGCGAGAGGGGGAGGGGGGCGGTGACTGCCGACGTCACCGCGGATATGGCGGCGCGACGGGCCGACGTGACGCCGCCGCCGCCCCGCCCCTTGTGACGTCACTCGGCGAGGGGCCCTTGTGACGTCACGCTCGGCGAGTCACGTGGCGCCTCTTCCCGCCCCCACCCACACACACCCGGACTTCGATCGTCGTCGTCGTTTTGTCGTGGTCTCTGTGCTCGTTTGGGGGGAGGGGGGAATGGGGGGGGAGGGGGGAATGGGGGGGGAGGGGGGAATGGGGGGGGAGGGGGGAATGGGGGGGAGGGGGGAATGGGGAGGGAGGGGGTGTTACAGTATACATACAGTATATAATGTATAGTATATATACACGTGTGTGCGTGTGTGTGTGGGACGCGAGCCATTAGTCATCGTGGTGTCAGCTGTGCCCGTCAATAAAGCGGTCTGACGGAAAACGTGAACCAGACTCTGCCGTGTTGATCCCGGGACGGGGAATCACAGGATTGGGGAATCACAGGATTGGGGAATCACAGGATTGGATAGTCACAGGATTGGATAGTCACAGGATTGGGGAATCACAGGATTGGGGAATCACAGGATTGGATAGTCACAGGATTGGATAGTCACAGGATTGGATAATCACAGGATTGGATAATCACAGGATTGGATAGTCACATGATTGTATAGTCACAAGATTGAATAATCACAGGATTGGATAGTCACAGGATTGGATAGTTACAGGATTGGATAATCACAGGATTGGAAAGTCACAGGATTGGATAATCACAGGATTGGGGGATCACAGGATTGGATAATCACAGGATTGGATAGTCACAGGATTGGATAATCACAGGATTGGGGGATCACAGGATTGGATAGTCACAGGATTGGATAGTCACAAGATTGGATAATCACAGGATTGGATAGTCACAGGATTGGATAATCACAGGATTGGAAAGTCACAGAATTGGATAATCACAGGATTGGGGAATCACAGGGTTAGATAGTCACAGGATTGGATAGTCACAGGATTGGATAATCACAGGATTGGGGGATCACAGAATTGGATAATCACAGGATTGAATAGTCACAGGATTGGGGAGAGACAGAGAGAGAGAGGAACACGTGATTAGAGACCTCACACACAGGGCAGAGACATCACCATCACCACCACCACACTGATCATCATCCAGCAGTGGATAGACCACGGTGATGATGATGGTGATGACTGAACACGTGGATTAGAGACCTCACACACAGAGCCGAGACGTCACCACCATCGCCACCACACTGATCATCATCCAGCAGTGGATAGACCACGGTGATCATGATGATCATGACACTGAACACGTGATTAGAGATCTCACACAGGGCAGGGACATCACCACCACCATCACCACCACACTGATCATCATGCAGCAGTGGATAACACCACGGTGATGATGATCATGACACTGAACACGTGATTAGAGATCTCACACAGGGCAGGGACATCATCACCATCACCACCACACTGATCATCATCCAGCAGTGGATAACACCACGGTGATGATGATGATGATGACAGTGAACACGTGATTAGAGATCTCACACAGAGCAGAGACATCACCACCATCACCACCACACTGATCATCATCCAGCAGTGGATAGACCACGGTGATCATGATGATCATGACACTGAACACGTGATTAGAGATCTTACACAGGGCAGGGACATCACCACCACCATCACATTGATCTTCATCCAGCAGTGGATAACACCACGGTGATGGTGATGATGATGACACTGAACACGTAGATTAGAGATCTCACAGAGCAGAGACGTCACCATCACCACCAAACTGATCATCATCCAGCAGTGGATAGACCACGGTGATGATGACAGTGAACACGTAGATTAGAGATCTCACACAGAGCAGAGACATCACCACCATCACCACCACACTGATCATCATCCAGCAGTGGATAGACCACTGTGACGATGATGATAGTGAAAACGTGATTAGAGATCTCACACAGGGCAGAGACGTCACCACCATCACCACCACACTGATCATCATCCAGCAGTGGATAACACCACGATGACGTGCATACATCACAAAACACACAGAATAACTCTCCACCCCCCCCCCACACATCCAGGATCTGTGATCTAATTATCGCGGGTCTTAATTGGGTTAAACGAGGAGGCCGGGTCCTACCCCTTGCGGCCTAACTCAATTAGCCGGCTGGCAGCAGCTGTCCCCGGCAGCGCATCTAGCACCAGAGGGGTGGGGTGGGCACGGGGGTGGGGGAAGGGGGGTTGGGAGATCACTGGGGAGACGGGCGGGAGGGGTCGGATGATAGGGGCGGGAGGGGGAGGGGGTAGGGGGCGGTAGGGGAGGGGGTAGGGGAGGGGGAGGGGGTAGCGAGGGGGAGGGGGTAGCTAGGGAGAGAGGGGTAGCGAGGGGGTAGCGAGGGGGAGGGGAGGGAGAGAGGGGTAGCGAGGGGGTAGCTGGGGGGTAGCGAGGGGGGTAGCGAGGGGGAGGGGGGTAGCGAGGGGGAGGGGAGGGGGTAGCGAGGGGGGTAGCGAGGGGGGTAGCGAGGGGGTAGCGAGGGGGGTAGCGAGGGGGAGGGGGTAGCGAGGGGGAGGGGGTAGCGAGGGGGTAGCGAGGGGGTAGCTAGGGGGTAGCGAGGGGGGTAGCGAGGGGGTAGCGAGGGGGTAGCGAGGGGGGTAGCGAGGGGGGTAGCTAGGGGGTAGCGAGGGGGGTAGCGAGGGGGTAGCGAGGGGGTAGCGAGGGGGTAGCTAGGGGGTAGCTGGGGGGTAGCTAGGGGGTAGCGAGGGGGGTAGCGAGGGGGTAGCTAGGGGGGTAGCGAGGGGGTAGCGAGGGGGGTAGCGAGGGGGTAGCGAGGGGGGTAGCGAGGGGGTAGCTAGGGGGGTAGCGAGCGGGTAGCTAGGGGGGGTAGCGAGGGGGGTAGCGAGGGGGGTAGCGAGGGGGTAGCGAGCGGGTAGCGAGGGAGTAGCGAGGGGGGTAGCGAGGGGGTAGCGAGCGGGTAGCGAGGGGGTAGCGAGGGGGTAGCGAGGGGTTAGCGAGGGGATAGCGAGGGGTAGCGAGGGGGGTAGCGACGGAGTAGCTAGGGGGGTAGCGAGGGAGTAGCGAGGGGGTAGCTAGGGGGTAGCGAGAGGGTAGCAAGGGGGTAGCTAGGGGGTAGCGAGGGGGTAGCGAGGGGGGTAGCTAGGGGGGTAGCTAGGGGGTAGCTAGGGGGTAGCGAGGTGGTAGCCGAGGGGGTAGCGAGGGGGTAGCTAGGGGTAGCGAGGGGGGTAGCGAGGGGGTAGCGAGGGGGTAGCGAGGGGGGTAGCTAGGGGGTAGCGAGGGGGTAGCGAGGGGGGTAGCGAGGGGGTAGCGAGGGGGTAGCGAGGGGGGTAGCGAGGGGGTAGCTAGGGGGTAGCGAGGGGGTAGCGAGGGGGTAGCGAGGGGGTAGCGAGGGGGTAGCTAGGGGGGTAGCGAGGGGGTAGCGAGGGGGGTAGCGAGGGGGGTAGCTAGGGGGTAGCTAGGGGGTAGCGAGGGGGGTAGCGAGGGGGGTAGCGAGGGGGTAGCGAGGGGGTAGCGAGGGGGGGTAGCTAGGGGGTAGCTAGGGGGTAGCGAGGGGGGTAGCGAGGGGGTAGCGAGGGGGTAGCGAGGGGGGTAGCTAGGGGGTAGCGAGGGGGGTAGCGAGGGGGTAGCGAGGGGGTAGCTAGGGGGGTAGCGAGGGGGTAGCGAGGGGGGTAGCGAGGGGGGTAGCTAGGGGGTAGCGAGGGGGGTAGCTAGGGGTAGCGAGGGGGTAGCGAGGGGGGTAGCGAGGGGGGTAGCTAGGGGTAGCTAGGGGGTAGCTAGGGGGGTAGCGAGGGGGTAGCGAGGGGGGTAGCTAGGGGGGTAGCGAGGGGGTAGCGAGGGGGTAGCGAGGGGGGTAGCGAGGGGGTAGCTAGGGGGGTAGCGAGCGGGTAGCTAGGGGGGTAGCGAGGGGGTAGCGAGGGGGGGTAGCGAGGGGGTAGCGAGGGGGTAGCGAGCGGGTAGCGAAGGGGGTAGCGAGGGGGGTAGCGAGGGGGTAGCGAGGGGGTAGCGAGGGGGGTAGCGACGGAGTAGCTAGGGGGGTAGCGAGGGAGTAGCGAGGGGGTAGCTAGGGGGTAGCGAGAGGGTAGCAAGGGGGTAGCTAGGGGGTAGCGAGGGGGTAGCGAGGGGGGTAGCTAGGGGGGTAGCTAGGGGGTAGCTAGGGGGTAGCGAGGTGGTAGCGAGGGGGTAGCGAGGGGGTAGCTAGGGGGTAGCGAGGGGGTAGCGAGGGGGTAGCGAGGGGGGTAGCTAGGGGGTAGCGAGGGGGTAGCGAGGGGGGTAGCTAGGGGGTAGCTAGGGGGTAGCGAGGGGGGTAGCGAGGGGGTAGCGAGGGGGGTAGCTAGGGGGTAGCTAGGGGGTAGTGAGGGGGTAGCGAGGGGGGTAGCGAGGGGGTAGCGAGGGGGGTAGCGAGGGGGTAGCGAGGGGGGTAGCGAGGGGTAGCGAGGGGGTAGCGAGGGGGGTAGCTAGGGGGTGGTGTGTCTGTGTGTGGGGGGGGGGTCACGCTGACCCCCGTGCCCCTGCTGGACATGAGTGACGAAGAGCTTCATAGCTCATCGGATTCCTCCTGCAGTCTAAATATAGATCCTGGGTGGGTGGGGGGTAACGGGGTAACGGGGGGGGGTTTCAACAAGGGTGGGCGGGGGGATGGCGTGAGGGGGAGGGTCCAATGGGAGGGGGCGGGGGGTAGTGTGGGGGGGCGGGGTCAACGCGGGGGGAGGGTCCAATGGGGGTGGGCGGGGGGTAGTGGGGGGCGGGGTCAACGCGGGGGGAGGGTCCAATGGGGGAGGGCGGGGGGTAGTGGGGGGGCGGGGTCAACGCGGGGGGAGGGTCCAATGGGGGAGGGCGGGGGGTAGTGGGGGGCGGGGGCATTGCGGGGGGAGGGTCCAATGGGGGGGTAGTGGGGGGCGGGGTCAAC